TTTTGTGTTTGTTTTTTGCTCTATAATACATGCTGCTATAAATGACAATGTCTCAGGCTATTTTAGAAAAGGTGATTAATAGATAAAAAACAATTATATAGCATAAAATACAATATATTCATAAATATTACAAAATATATACATGAACTATGAAAAAACAATCATCTTTTTTAGAATATGTAACAATGTTTCTATCTTTCAACTAAAATTATATACCCTACCAAACAACCAGAATTGACCTGATAAGAGTTTGAAAACTATCTCCTACTCAATCTACGAGTAGCAGTATTGGCTTTTAAAATGTGGAACTGAAAAAAATTATCTTAAAAAAGCTGCTTCCCTGTAAATGAAACTAAATACTCAGGAGAATCAATTAATTCAGACTTCAAATATGCAGCAGCAAAATTGTCCAAATTTTGCATGGGAATAATGTTGTTATATTTTAAATATCTCAACCAAAAATATGAATCTTTAATCAATTCCACTTTTCTACATGGAAGCATTTGAAATATTAAATACAAAAGCTCACTTGGTACTGTAATTTCATAAATAAAGAGCTATCCATTGTGCAATTTCTTTATGTATACAAGTAAAAGTTTAAATTTCAACTTCCTGATATCTCCTATTTTAATATTTAAATTTCTTAAAAGGTGAAGAATTGATTTTAAAGGAAAGGATTGATGTTTTCTTAAACTCTTTCAATATATTGTTCTTATCTGTCTCAATAAATTCTTTGAGAATAAAAACCTTCATAGATCTCCTTTTAAACGTTTTCTTCCTTTTTTTCGGTTATTGTGTGTCATGTTCATTAAATCTATAATGTTTTCATCCATTATAGTTGTTATTAACCTAAAACAAAATAAAACCTCTATAAATTTGTAAAATATAAGATATTAATAATTTACTTTATTTTACTGGTTGAATAATTTCTGTTGGTGTAACTAATTACTTCTCATTTAACTATAAATTCCCAGTCTAGCTAAACTTGTAAATTTGGTACATTTATTGTTTGGGTTTCAAATAGACAGATTGTGGCATGTAAATTTGTTATCAAATCAAAAATGTTTGAAATTCCATTTGGGCTTTGCCTTAGTGGTCTTTAAAGTTCCCATGTTATCCTACTGGTGAAAATGTTCGTTTGAATTTGAATGGATGGGTCTTTTAAAATTAAACTAATATATAAAAATATATCTACTGTATTCATATTGTTTAACAAGCAGACACAAAATAAAAAATACCCCCTAAATCAATAATATAGCTTGTAAATAAACCTACCACATGGCTATACATAATATTAGAATATTTAATTTGTTCAAACAAACAACAAGACAAAGATTGACCTGCAAAAGGTCAATATTTTTTTTTTATTGTAGGCTATTAACTATGTAAAACCCACCAAAATCAATGGTTATTCTTAAGGTTCCACGCAAGTGCAGGTATGCAGCTAATACAGTAGACAGGGTGAAGTTATTAAAATCTTGAATATTTAACTTAATTTAATCAGTAAAAAAATACCAAAGGAAGAGAACTTAAAATGCCACTGGGGCAGAGTGCTGAGGGAATTTACCTTGTTTCTAGAACTTTTAAATGACATAGAGATGTACAACATGATAATGAAAGAAATAAGAGGTGGTTTTACATAGCTGCAATAAAAAGGTATGCAAAATCAAACCGCCACTCTCTACCAAACTATAATACCTCAGAACCAGATTAATTTATATACTTTTACGATATAATTGGTCTATACACCACTATAATGTCAACAGAACCACTTCAACTTGACAATTTCAAATGGATTTCACCATCAACATTTGACATAGACAACACCACCACCAAGAGAAAGTCCATAGAGTCATTTCATTTAACGAATCATGTTGGTTAAAACCCTACTACAAAGACATAAACACCCAATTACGAACAAACTACTCACACGACAAAACCCTCTCAAATTTCTTTAAACTACAATCAAACTTAATCTATGGAAAATCAATAGAAAAGGTAACTGAAAATCTATACAAATACTTCCTCCACAAAAACCCTAAGAAACTCATGTATCCTATTTAATAGAACAACCAACGTTCATAGACAGGTTAATTCTAAATTAAAATAATTATATAATATTAATGAAAAATACCCCCGCCGCAGCAAACCTGCAGACTAAGCGAATTTCCATTTGACTGATTGGATTTACACTGAAATGTCTACTTAAAAATATAACATTTATTCTCTATTTAAATAGAATTAGTTTAACTAGTACTTAGGTTTGCTGCATCAGGGAGGGTAAAACTGTTTTTTTTTTTTGTAAAACGTTAATAGTTAGTAAGAAATAAAAACATTTTCCAAATTTGATCAAAATATGTTCATAAACAAGCAAACTACAACAATTTACTTATTCTCCATAAGAATAACATGGGAATTTTAAATTTACAATTTTTTGGAATTTTCTCCGTAACCATTGGGCGCATAATAACGCTTCAATATACTAAATTATTTGTTTTTTTAAGCTCTACAAAATGGTTTGGAAATAAATTGCTAAATTTTATGTCTTTTGGGTCAAAAATGGGAAAACCCTATTTTTACCCCATAAAACCCCCCGTAAACCCCTGTTCCCATAGTCCGATCATGCTGGTTCGCGAACTCGTTCGAATAAACATAGGTTTACACGTTTGTACCAAATTTCATCAAAATCGGATCATTTTTGCTCGAGTTATCGTGCTAACGGACACATATATATACAGGGTGTCCCGTAACTCTCTGGACACTTGTATATAGCGTTATTCCTTAGGTCAAGACAAACACATTTCACCATAGGAACATGGGTCTGTGGTGTCTAGTTTACCAACTGTCGGTATTTATGTGTTTTTTAAAAAAAAACTAATAACTCCTAAACGGTTTGAGATACAGCTTTGATATTTTGCAAAAATGTTAATCTTATTAAGACCTATTATCGATAGAAATTATACTAAAAAATCATTAACCGTTTCAAAATGGCGGCCATTTAAAATATTTGATGCCAAATTTCACGAAAACCGTTAACTTTACAAAAAAATTGCAAGAGACAAAAAAGTTTGTAAATTTTATGTAGTTTTCAATGATACCTGATTTGTTAAGATTAAATAAATAATAACAGAGAAATGTCTTCTTTTCTAAACGCATGACCACTTTTCTTAATTTAAACAATGCTAAACAACGTAAAAGGAGTATTAGCATTGTTTAAATGGAGAAAAGTGGTCATACATTTAGAAAACAACACGTTTCTCTGTTATTATTTATCCAATCTTAATAAATCCGGTATCATTGAAAACTACATACAATTTACAATGTTTTTTGTCTCTTGCAATCTTTTTGTAAAGTTAACGGTTTTCGTGAAATTTGGCATCAAATATTTTAAATGGCCGCCATTTTGAAACGGTTAATGATTTTTTAGTATAATTTCTAACGATAATAGGTCTTAATAAGATTAACATTTTTGCAAAATATCAAAGCTGTATCTCAAACCGTTTAGGAGTTATTAGTTTTTTTGTAAAAAACACATAAATACCGACAGTCGGTAAACTAGACACCACAGACCCATGTTCCTATGGTGAAATGTGTTTGTCTTGACCTAAGGAATAACGCTATATACAAGTGTCCAGAGAGTTACGGGACACCCTGTATATATATATATATATATATATATATATATATATATATATATATATATAAATATATAAATATATAAATATATATATATATATATGAATTTGAACGGATGGTGTTTTTGGCCTCTAGGGACCTCAAAATGAAAAAAAAAAATCGGTCCCGCGTCCAGGTCTTACCATGAGTACTACGGTAATAGCTTATTCCCTATATGGGAAATTCGCTAATAAAAGGGCCCAGTGCAAGAAACCATCATCAAATACAACTTCACTCACACGTATACGAAAATTTTCATTTTCATTTCAATCTATATATATAAAATCCAATGTATGTTTGTATATTTGTATATTTGTATGTTTGTCCTTTATGGACTCCAAAACCGCTAGACAGATTGTAATGAAACTTTTAGGCATTATTAAGCATTATTCAAGATGGTTTGTGTGAAGTTTGGTGCAGATCCGTCAATAGGGCTCCGCCCCAGTGGCTCTGAGTTTCCCATGTGAACCTTATGAGTACTCATATTTAAATGGAATTAAAGAATCTTAACAGCTGGTGCAGCTAAACAATTTGATTCTGTGATGTTCAATAGCATTAAAAAGTTAATGGGTTTACCAACAGGGTGCAGCACTATGTTTTTTTTTTTAATTTATGAGAACAGCTAATTTGCAACCAAAAGGTGAGTGAGCGTAGCGAACGAACTTCAACCTGGAGGCGAGTTAGCGTAGCGAACGAGCTAACCTGAAGGCAAGTGAGCGCAGCGAACGAGCTCCAACCTAAAGGTGAGTGAGCGTAGCGAACGAACTTTAACCAGGACGTGATTGAGCCATGCGAACGAGCTCATCTTGAAAATGAACGAGCATGTGACATAAAACCACAATAGGACAGGACGACGTCTGTCGGGCCAGCTAGTTATTAATAAAATCCTCTTTTTTAATAACTACTTGTGTTTTTAAGTAGCCTATTAACTAGGGTTTTCAGTAAAAAGGGGAACTGGGTACTATACATTAATTTTTAAGAGCGGGAAAAAGTAAAAAAGTGTGAATTTTAGAACCTGGAAATTTTAAATAATTTCAGATCAGCCTATGGCCATTCACGGGGTTCATTTAAATCTATTTAACCTTAATTAGTCCAGTACCAACTAGGCCTAATTCTGATTAGTAGGACTCTGGACAGAGTACTTCCATTCCAATAAATTTTAAATTTACCGTACTTAACCGCTGCAGCTGACGGTTAGTTCATTATTTGCAACTAGAGTTAAAAAGAAACAGTAAAGAAAAGTGTTATTGTTTAAGGATAAAGGTAGTTCTAATCTCTATATTTCAAGAGGTAGGCCTAACATTGACACAGATGTCTGTGAATACCTCTGTCCTACATCCTCGGGGTTGGAGTGTGTTTTGACCAGTTTGAAGTAGTGGACTCTCTGTATACCGAGCCTCTCTGCCTGTCCCTGCACCAAACATCGTAGGAAGTGGAACGCCAAGTGACGATGTTCTCTGGCCACCGGGTCATTAAGCAGGTCCTTCACACAGTGCCACAGCTTCTTGACTGCCTCCTGAAATACCAAGCATTGGCAACATGTCATAAATGTTTTGAGACGGACCCACTCATTTTAAACAGATTTTTTAACATTGTGCGAGGTATTCATGATGTTTTTGGTTATGACCAGTGGTTGGTGTGCCAAAGATTATTGGAATGTAGTGAAAAAATAATTGGGCCAAGAAAAAAAGAAATACAGTATTTTTCAATGAAATGGAGACCATACAAAGAAGGTATTTTAAGCCAAATATGAATGAAGATGAATGTAGGATGAGTGGCGCGATCTTGTCGTCTTGTTAGTGACTAAGGCCGACATATTCCTTAGACATAGCTATTAATTAATAGCCCATACAGGTAATGGCAACTAAGGGACCTACAGTTAAGTGGAATCCGAACCATATTTTTGCCTTTTTGCGTTGCATGAATTGGACTAATTATGAGGATAGTACTGCGGATAGTCGTAGTACTCACTAGTACGGACGTTAATTAACACCAGGGAGCATCATCCACAGTGCATGCCTATAAATATCCACAATTTGTGAACTCCTAGTAGCTGGATTACAGGATTATATGAGCTGGTGATTAAATCTTCGATAGTAAAAACTCTTTGTGCAATCGCTGAGCGCTTCAATGATATTTTTTTAGAATTGGTGATAATATTACACTATCTCCCGCCACTGAAGCCATCAATTTAGATAAATGCATAACTCCTGATTTTTAACCAAATTTAAATTAGGTAGTAGGCCTAAATGAAAAATATGTCCTAGAAGCCATTAATTCTCTTAACAGTAACTATTCTGCAGGTTGGGATGAAATACCAGCTCGACTGTAATTAAAGATGGTGCATCTGTTATAGTTAACCTTTTACTGTTGTCATAAACAATAGGGTACCGGTAGTCAAAGAAATTGAAACTTCCCAGAAAATGTAATACTTCAGTCTTCCCTGTAAATCAGTAGATTTTCTGGGACCTACAATTCAAGATAATTTTGAATGGAATGACCACTGTGACCATATATATATATATATATATGTATATATATATATATATATATATATGTATATATATATATATATATATATATATATATATATCATTAAAAAGCAAAAAAAGGCCATTAGAGTTATTGCTCAAGATAATCTTGTAGATCCAGTTATTAAAATTCAAACTTTTGAAGCTCCCTGCTCTTAATATTTTACACTTTTTTTATCAAAAACAACATTTGATTATTTGTAAACTGTAAAAAAAACTCATACTGTACTTATGCATTCAGGTTAACAACGAATAACGGTACATCTTTATTTCACATAAGAGTCTTTAAGTGCAGGCAATTCAAAAAAGAAACTCACAGAAAAATTGATCAAGCTTTGTCCTTATGGTATGAAAATATAATTTTATATTCTCAACTAACATCTTGATTATTCTTGTATCTATTCATTCTATGTGATACCGTAATGATAATTTATATATAATGGATGATTTGTATTGACATGTTACATTTAAACTAATCTATTGCTGAACCTCAGCTAGGCTATACAATTAAGTCCTTTGAATGAAACCCTGACAAACTGCATTGTGTTGTTCTGTGATGAATAAGTTAAATTGAATTGAATTGTACCGGTAGTCTTAAATTTTCCAGTGCGGGAACACGCCCTGTTTGTCATAATGAAACATAGTCGCTGGTCGCTTACCATGATATATAGGTTCTTTGGTAAAAGCAGAATGGAGACACCGTTCCCACGTGTTCCCGCCCCACTACACACTGGTTATGAGGTAGGTGTACAGAACTTAGGTGATTTTCCAGTTTTACTACTGTAGACTAAGGGATACCATGGTCTAATGTATATTAAGGATGGCCATTTTCTAAAGATTAAACGAGAGATGACCTGTTGTAGGCCACATGTACAGGCCTTGTTGGCCTATTTCATACCATTCCAAGATACTTTGGTAATCATAATTCCCTACGCAGAGGTTTACATAAGGCACTGTAAAACATGCACACATTCTTTCTATTTACAGAAATCTTGTAGGTTGAATATCAAGAAACTGCAGTGAGTCAAACTAAGATTGCAAATGTATCACTATTTAAAGCAAATCAAAATTTTAGCAATCCTTAAGTTAGTGATCGATGCATTTTAATATCATTACCTGTAGCCTACCGTAGTAAGAAATCTACTGACTCCCAACATACAGTTTGGTTAACCTAATTAACCTATCACACTTAACTTACTTCTTCAAGACGATGATTTAAAACAATATCGCTCAACTCTCTGATGGCTTTGACTCTATGACCAACAGAGGTTTCAGGACTTAGCTCTTTCTCCAGATCATTAGTCAGACTGTAATCTTCTGGAAGCTTAAATCCAGCTAAAACAAACATCAAATTTAAAATAGGCCTACAGGTCATCAAAATATTGGCCTCAGGTTGACACCTTGTGAATAAGAGTCCTAGTCTTGTACAAAATTACTTTAAACTAGGCCTACTTGTAAACCAAGTTTTTTGTTTGTACAAATTGTTTGTAAACCAGTGCTATTTTTAAGTTGGTTATAATAACTCACACTCAACCAACAATTTTGCATACAATTATCAAGGAACCAAGGTAACGTGTTTTAAAGCATTGTAAACCTTTAACTTATAATGATATTTGTAGTTAGGGGCTAAGTTATTGATCGGTTTCACTAAATCTCGAACACATAGGCTTAACTTAATATCATTGATATAGCCTACATCAACATTAGTATAGTAAGAACCTTCTTACTATACTAATGTTGATGTAGGCTATATCAATGATATTAAGTTAAGCCTATGTGTTCGAGATTTAGTGAAACCGATCAATAACTTAGCCCCTAACTACAAATATCATTATAAGTTAAAGGTTTACAATGCTTTAAAACACGTTACCTACGTTATCATTGATAATCTGAAAAGGGTTGACCAGGCTAGGCTAACATTACAGTATCTTACAGGAGTTTTGAATTTGCTGGACAAACCACTTTGCTTCCATCATTGTATTTAACCAAGACATAATGAGGTTTAGCATCCATCAGCTCTAGTTCCTTGACTAAAGGATCAAATTTTGATGGCCGAACATTTCTTTTTAAGAATATCAGTCCTGGTTTCATGAGCCAAGCTGGCTGTGAGGTGCCATTGGGGGATCATCGAGGATGGAAAAACCTTTCATGTGGCGTACCGGTATTGTTAGTCAAAGTGCACAAAAGAGATCTTATGGAGTACAATGCATCATTGAGTACAACTTCCTATTGTTCTAACTTTTATGACCTGGACTTCAGAGCTAGCTATCAAGATTGCTTTCCACAATTTTCCATTGAACTTTTCAACTTGGCCATTTCCTGCTGGATTAAGTTATATGGAGTTGTTAGACTAAGTGGCTCTTTCAAAAAGGTAGTCCCTGAGTTCTTTTGAAAGAAAAGATTCGTCCCTACTGTCTGAATGAATATAGGCTAGTTTGGCATTCCAAATATTGAATATAGATTTTATAAACAGCGAACTACTGTGCGGACATATCAGAATGTGAGCCAGTCATAGAATGTGCTAGCTTTGTGCTAGAGTATAAAATTATATTTTATATTTGTTGCTGGTCGTGTAGATGGGTCATAACAGTTGCTATAGATCACCATAAGTTACCATTAAATTTAGTTTTAAGTTACTTTGTAAAATTGGGTACACTTCCATATCTGTTGGCACAAACAACCGAATGAAAATATTGATTATTCAATAAATTGTTTGGTCAGTTAGGTAAATAAGGTTAACCTAACCCAACTAACCAAACCATCATCGAATTAAACAATCGAATAATCAATATTACTCATTCGGTTGTTTGTGTTAACAGATACATGGAAGTGTACCCAAAAGATTTTGTGTATTCATCAGAATTTAGTAATTTATATCTGCCCAATCTAGCAGTGGTTCATATCAACTACAATGACTTTAGTTTAAAAATCTGGAATAGTCAAAGGTACAAATAATAATTATAAATAGGCCTAAGTGATATTATTTCAGCCTAGGCCCTAAGTTTTAGTCCTAGCTTAGTGCCTAAAAGTTACTGTTAAAAAAAATACCAAACACTCTTATAAATTATTTGTATTTCATCCAAATAGGCCTATCCTTGTTACAACATGTTAACTACTAACTGATAGGCTAAACTAGGGAATAATATAAGTAGGCCTAAGCCTAGCCTATAGCATTTACCTCCACCACTTTTATTGGATCGGAAGAACTGCTTAAGCTTATCGAGTGTTTTTGTGTCTTTTATGTTTGCTTTAGACATTGTCAGTCGTTATATTTCACTATTGATTTTCTATGCCGCTGCAAAGAACAGGTAGGTTTAATTGTGAGGTTAGGACACAAAACTGTCCCCTATAAGATCCACAAATAAGGTTATGGTAAAAATAGATTTTTCTTGATTAACTATTCATCTTCACTTATTTATTATGACGAACTGCAGGGCCCAACGTCACAATTCTGTTTGTTTAAGTTCAAAACAAAATAATAATATCCGTCTTCATAAACAAGTTGAAAAAATTGACATTTCCATTTCGATCATGAAATAACTGAAACGCAACACAACACAGACAACACAACACAACACTGCACTCACTGCACTGCAGCAGTGGAGTGCAGCTTGCAGCTGCAAACCCTAAACAAACACTAAACAGAAACAGACAGGCCACTAGGACAGGTCCGGACAGGACGACAGGACAGAGGCAGGCTCAGGCAGCAGAACCAGAACCACTGAGCTAAAATTATAACTGGAGGTAGCACTGCCATGGCAGAAGTCTGTCAAAAGCGAGTCGCTGATTTTGTTAGGTTGGTATAGCAGTAAGTTTTCTTACCATAGCAATAACATGGCTTCTTATAACTAGGTTGGTATAGCAGTGAGTATTTTTGTCATACTTGAATACTTTTAATACTTTAATAATTTTCTTTGAAATGGCGACCATACAAAGTAGGTATTTTAAGCCAAGTATAATAATAGTTATAGCAATAATATGGCTTCTTATGACACCAGACTCACGCAAACATGGCGGCTGGCGACACGCATCTTTGACATTCAGTGCTACCTCCAGTTAGAATTATAGCTCAGTGACCAGAACTAAGTGTGTTTTGGTTGTCTATGGTAAAAGCATAGATAAGAAGACAATTTTATTGTTAGTTCTATACACTGAGCTATATAGCTCAGTGGTTCTATACGGTTTATGTAGAGGTCGTGTTTTGTTTAAAATTTGTTTCCCGTTATTACAGCCATTTAAAACCTCGTTTAACCAAATAATACAATCTAATCATAAACAATAACTTGTCCCCTAGTTATATAACCAAACAGTAAAGCACAAATCAAGAAATTAACCCTAAAATAATAGAAACAAAGTTTCGTCGACACTAGCGCTTTTGTGTCACGTACATGAACTAGACACGAAAAACGTGCTTCAAAATTTACAATGGGGTGAGAAGTCTACTTGTGTTGGTTAGTCTATGGTAAAAGGGTAAGTAAAAGCATAGACTAACCAACACAAGTAGACTTCTCATCCCATTGTAAATTTTGAAGCTCGTTTTTCGTGTCTAGTTCATGTACGTGACACAGTCTGATTAAGTCTGTTATTTAAAATAGCTACACATCCGCCTTTGGTTTCAGAAGCAAAATTCAATTTGATCACTAAAGAAATATCTTTCTTGCAAGCTTGGCTAACTTATCGGCTATATGTCATACCTTATAATGGCATAGCTTATAATTGCGAATTTGTTCCATAACTTAAAATCGTAGAAATGTGGCATAGCTTATAATGGTTTTCTTCAAATGTGGCATACCTTATAATTGTATAGCTCAAATTTGCTGTAGCTTATAAAATCACGTTTATTCTATACCTTATAATTTCCAAAACGTGGCATAGCTTATAAAGCGCGGGAATGACGCAATCGCGGATGGAACAGCTGATTGATCATCAGTAAACAAACCAATTACGAAGTGACTATTCGCATTCGCACGTCAAAATGACGTTACAACCCGTTCCCGTTCTAGTCCAGTATTGCAAAAGGAACAGTTCATGGTGGAAGGAAAGTACAACAGTTACTTCTAGAAGCCATTTAAATTACTTACTTACTCACTCAATAATTTCGGTGAACATACAGGTTCCTTTAAAATTGTCCTATTTTGAAATGTTAAAGAATTTATATAAAAAAAGACGAGCATATTAGTAAACATATTAGTTCGCCTAAACTGGTAACTTTTAGACTCTCTAATGATTTTAGAATAAATCTCTTTATTAATGACGTGGCAACTAAACCATGTGCCAATATATGGTTTAATGATGTGTGTTCACTTCAGGCGGCCGCATGGAGGTGGCCTTTGCGGATTTCTTTTCGAAATTCAAGGATACATTTGATCTGCACTTTCCTCTAATTCTTTCTTATTACTTTCTTATTAAATGGTGACCATACAAAAGTAGGTATTTTAAGCCAAGTATCAATGGAGATGAGTGTAGGATGAGTGGCGCGATCTTGTAGTCTTGTTAGTGACTAAAACCGACATTCCTTAGACACAGCTGTTAATTAATAGCCCATACAGCTAATGGCAACTAAGGGACCTACAGTTTATAGTGGAATCCGAACCACATTTTCCCCTTGGTATATACGAATTGGTCTAATTATCAGGATAGTACTGTGGATAGTCGTAGTACTCTCTCGTGCGGACGTTAATCCACACCAGGGAGTATCGCATCCACAGTGCATGCCTATAAATATCCACAATAAATATTCAAAATACGGTACTGGTAAGAAGCCCTGTGGGCAGTACATTGTCAAGTGTGAATAGTCCTATAAATAAACTTAAAAAAATTGGTACTCTACAGAGCTTGCCAATTTCAAAGAATATATTTGGTCTGTGCGTGACTTGACCAAGTCAGATCCGTCTATGCTCCCTTCCCTGCCCTCGTAAGCTAAAAGGCAGTAACTACAAAAATATCACATTTTGAGGCAAGTGCAAATCTTTATGTTTTGAAGGTCGAGGAATCCAAAAATGTAGGCGAAAACACCGTATCTCAAGCCGTTTTTGAGATATCAAACTAGTTATTTACCGTATCTACCAACAAATGTGCAAATACTAAGTCAAAACACCGTAACTTTGGTTTACTTGGCCAGAAAACAGTAAGCAAAAAACAGTTACGGCTTTCTGGAATAGTACAGGGTGGGGCAGGGAAGTATCCCTAATTTTGAAGGTACATTAAAAGAAAACCAGAAATGTTAGAACCAAACTGTTTACTGAAATTAAAAGGTTACATCCGGGAGTTTATTTTAATATAACTTTACTTGGTTTTAAACCGCATATTCTGCAAGTGGTGTCCCTAATCTTAAATGCATTGCTGTATTCTGGTTCTGGAGCTCATAATAACTTTGTGAAGCTTTTATTGTGGAATGCGGCAAAATTCAAGGTGAATTGCATCCTTCAAGGTATCTAGGGTCTTCCCTTGAACCACCCTAGGCTTAGCATCACTCCAATAGAGCATATTCTGCTTATTTACCGCTCCAGGAATATGGAAGTGTACCTTGACACTAAACCAAACCCGAGCAGCATGAGGTAGTCCCGCAATTAAGATTTCACATGCCTGCATTCGTTGTTGCCAGTCCCGTTGTGTGAGTTCATGAGCAACTACCCTCTTGTATAGATGGAGGTGTAGGTCCCCATGGTGAATACAAGGCACAGTACGATTAGACAACGCCAGCGCGGATGCATGCTTACAAGCAGAACTTTGATGAGACTGCAAAATCGATCTTCTGACAAGGTCAATGTTTTCAGGACTTCGGACGGTTCTTTGAGCTCCAAATATCCTTCGCAATACACCACCACGTACACGAAAGTAATTTACCCACACCTAATTGTAACAGCTTTGCGACAGGCCACCCGATAACAAGTTTGCAGCCAACGGTAGCTGCAAAGCAACAATAGACTGATTTTGGAATAAAATACATCTCGAGTGCAGAAGCCCATTGCTCACTCGAACAAGCCATGTCTACTACTGAAAGTTATATTCTCATAAATTCCCAAAACAAAAGCTTCATTTGAGCCTAACCCCATTCCTCCAGCACACCCCCACTACTCACAGTGCCATCTTAAAAGTAGGGATATTTCCCTGCCCCACCCTGTATTTCTGCCTTACTGTTTTTTGGCTTAGTATAGTCTCGCCCAAATCCACTTACGGTTCAAAATTTTACCATTAAAATGCATAGGAAAGCAAAACATTAAATTTTGAAGACCTTCCTATAATTTCTGTTTTACATACTCTATGCATCACATGAATATCTTGTTGTTAGGTGGTAAATGAATTTTACAAAAAAACAACTTGGAGGGAAAGTATCACAATACCGGGACTCCCTATTTTGTTGACCCGGGTCAACAAATTCAATATATTTAGAAAAAAACCACTTTGAATGTAGAAATTTACATGAAACTTGGAACGAAGGTATATACACATGTATTCTACTCGTATGTAAAATTTGGTAACGATAAAAAAATATTTATCTATTTTATTAACTAAAAACCGGCCAAAATAGCTCATTTTATTTTGTTGACCCAGGTCAATCGCCTAAAAAAAGTACTTAGAATTAAACTATATACATGAAACTTGGAACGAAGGTATATCCACATGTATTCTACACGTATGTTAAATTTGGTAACAATTAAAATATATTTACCTATTTTATTAACAAAAAACTGCCGTAAAAAGCTTATTTCATTTTGTTGACCCAGGTCAATCACCAATAAAAGGTACTTAGAATTATACTATATACATGAAACTTGGAAAGAAGGTATATCTACATGTATTCTACACGTATGTAACATTTGGTAACAATTAAAAAATAGTTACCTATTTTATTAACAAAAAATTGCCGTAAAAAGCTTATTTCATTTTGTTGACCCAGGTCAATCACCAATAAAAGGTACTTAGAATTAAACTATATACATGAAACTTGGAAAGAAGGTATATCTACATGTATTCTACACGTATGTAACATTTGGTAACAATTAAAAAATAGTTACCTATTTTATTAACAGAAAACTGCCGTAAAAAGCTTATTTCATTTTGTTGACCCAGGTCAATCACCAATAAAAGGTACTTAGAATTAAACTATATACATGAAACTTGGAACGAAGGTATATCCACATGTATTCTACGCGTATGTTAAATTTGGTAACGATTAAAAAATATTTATCTATTTCATTAACTAAAAACCGGCCAAAATAGCTCATTTTATTTTGTTGACCCAGGTCAATCGCCTAAAAAAGGTACTTAGAATTAAACTATTTACATGAAACTTGGAACGAAGGTATATCTACATGTATTCTACACGTATGTTAAATTTGGTAACGATTAAAAAATATTTATCTATTTTATTAACTAAAAACCAGCCAAAATAGCTCATTTTATTTTGTTGACCCAGGTCAATCGCCTAAAAAAGGTACTTAGAATTAAACTATTTACATGAAACTTGGAACGAAGGTATAACTGATAAATATTTTTTAATCGTTACCAAATTTAA